TCAGAGCTCGTTTGCGGGGGAAACCCGACTCGAGGAAAACCGGGGCCGCGGGGTCCCCCGTGTGTCCGCCTGCCCCGCCGGGTCTTCATATACCGGTTACGGTGTATATTTATTATTAAAAAAACCACCCACGTGCCCAGTAGAGTGTTTTCCTGGGTAGTTGCCAGTCCCTCTCACCGAGCCCCTGCGGGGGCCTAGTTACAGGGTTTTGGGACGCTGCCTGTACCAACAGCCGCCTGCCCTCACTTGCCCTGTGAAGAGCGCGAGGCTTCAGCCTGAGCGACGCACACGCAAGGTTTAATATCTGCTGTTTCCCTGTTTATTTTAGTACAAGTTTGTGCACGTTACTCCAGTGGGAACTGGAGTTACTCCAGTAACGTCTCCCAACTTTACTCCAACGTCTGCTTGGGCTAGGCGGCAGCCGCCTCCCCGCGAAGCAGCGCCCCGAGGGCCGCCAGGTTCCCCCTCGGAGGCGTTGTCCCCCTCTCCCAGCGCCTTCCTGTTCTTAATGCCCCCAAGGAAATTCAGTTCTGTGCAGTCATCAAATATGCCCCCAGTTTTCAATTTTTTTTTTGTCTCTTGCAGTTTTTCAAACACAGTTCTGAAATACATGGTGCATTTTATTTTCTTCTCCCGGTTCTTAAAAACAGATATTATTTCTTTCCTTGTGGTGGCACCGCTGTAGCTGTGATGACCTTAACACATTTACAGAACTAGGGTTGCAGGCAGAGGTGTGCACCAAGCACTTCTTTTCTCAGATGGTCTAATTGCTACGTATCAAATTACAACCTGAGAACAATCGTTAAGGGTGGATTTAGCGTGGGAGTCTGTCTTCAAACTTTGTTTGCCCAAAAGCATGTCTGCACATTCTCACTATACAAGCTGGTGTAATAAAGAACGCTGCCTTTACCTACAAACCTTTATTTGGTCTTGTTCTCATCTTTGCGCTTGCGGGTCCCCTTGCGTTCTGAAGATTTTCTGGGCGTCTCTATTACGTACTGACATTGGCTTGCATTTTTCTTGCTCCCTTGAAAGAGAAAGCTATGTTTTGATAGTACAAAAGGTTGAATTTCAAAGATGGTGTCTCTAAGCTGTGTCAATTTTTCTTTTCTGCATATATTCCTCCAAAACTAAACAGGCAAACTGGAATTCGGTAATAGTTTGCAGCTGCAGGGTTATATTCATTTATTCAGTACCTGCTGCTATTCCAAAGATGCGATAAGCTGAGAAACTTTTATGTTTTAACACATAAAGAAATGCCTAACAGTACCCTGGCGAAGGTATTTCTTACAAGATCCGACTGTGGGGTACAGAAGTAAAAGACAAAAAGATACACACTTACTAATTTAGTAGAAATTGCTGTTAATATTTTGTTTTTCCTAGTGGAGGGAGGGGGGTTCATCCAAAACTTACAATTAAGTTTTCTAATTTCTTTGGCAATTATTTTGTAATAATGAGATGCTAAAAACACAAATAGAATTATTTTTTGTTTTATACGTTGTGCTGTTGAACTCTTTACCACAAATGTTTATAATTTCTTGTTGCCAGTCCAGTGGTTTTGAGCCTTTTGGTATGATTTTCTTAGGCTTGTGACTGATAAAATAATACTGTCTTCTCTCTTAAGCACAATATATTCCAAACAAAATTGTCACATCTTAGTGCGTCTGCTACCAGAGCAAGATAGACCTGCCCAAATCCATATAATGCCTCCTGATTGTGTAAAAATAAAATTTCTTTCCTATAATTATGCAAATTGTATGCAAGTTTGTTTTATATTCTGTACTGCAGAGGGCAGACTACTGGAAACTGTGGACTTTTGCAATTGCAGAATATCCTGCCTCTATTCGAGCATGTTGCTGGAGCAGTACGGTGAGTTACTCTGTGAGTGAACAGTATCAGAGGTGCCTATCTCTTCTGGCAAAGGAAATCATGAAAACTGCTGTTAGGGAAACCACTCTGGCAGCGTTCTCATGTTGAGAATAAGGGCCATGTAGTGTTACCACATCCAAAACTGATAAAAGGAAATACTTCTGCACAGTGAATAATATGACTACGGAAGTCATTGCCACAGAAAATAGGGGAGACCAAGCACCTTGCTTCAGAAGAGGATTGGATGTTTATAGCGGCAGGAAGAAAATCTGGGGTTGTTTTGCAAATACAATTTTGAGACAGTATTAACTATCGTGTTTTATTCACGAAACACAATGAGAAGTTATAAAGAGATCTTGAGTGGCCATAATTATCCCTCATCTCCCTCTTGCAGAATAGTTGCACCTTTCTCTGCAGCTTGCACTTTCAGGCTCTGTCCCATCTGTTACCCACCTAGCCCGTACGGACCCTAGATCTCTTCTACTCTTACAACAGCTACTTAAAACTGGACCCCTAGGAATGGTGAAATCCTGCCTACAAAAGTCATACGGTTTAATTTAGTGTGTCTTTTAAGATCAGTTTAGGTGTTTACCTAGTGCAAAGGACTATGTAGAAACAGCTTTTTGATTTATTCTCTGTTTATACTTACTTAGCTGAAGTGGATCTGAAGCACCGTGTGGATCTTTAATCCACAAGAGCGTTCACACAGAGATTGCAATAACACAACCTACTAGGTTTCAAACATTTAATTTAAAACCTGGCCACCGGTGCATGTAGACAAGCTTTCTGTGGGAGCTTCAGGGATAGGCTGGGGAAGAAGATGACTGGGGAAAGCTTTGGCCATGTTAAGTACGTCGGGTAAAGATGTTGGCTGTGGTTCTGCTTGTGGCTTGGTAATGTCCTTCCAGGAGTTATGGTTGAAATGTTACGTATTACTCAAGCAAATAAAGAGCTAAGATAATTTTCCATTTTGGGACTATATATCTCCCTACCTTTTGATTGTATTGAGTCTATAGGAAAAGTCTAAGCTCCATCTTGTATTTAATTTTGAAATAGAACAGTGAGACCTGTTCCAAGGGAGAGTAAAAACCATTTGCACAGTTTTGGTTCACAAATAAACATGATAAAATCTTGTTTATTCCAGATGGCTGTCATTGCAAGTTTGACTCGTTACACTAATTTGTGGACTGTTGAAACTTTTCTCCCTGGATATTGATTTTACCAGTTACCCAAGTCCGAAGCACTCACCTGCACAAGGACTGTCTAGCCAGAATCAACTAAATGATGCGTTGAATACTGCCACCCCCTGGTCGGCTGCACAGAAAACTTGGTGAGCTCAAAATTTATTTAAGGGAACACATAAAAAGTACGTGGCGGAGCGGGGAATGATTTTTTACGCTTTTAAATTACCTGCCAGGACTTTCTAGTCAGCGTTTATTCTACAGCAAGCTTGCCCCAGAGATACTTTGTATATAGGTGAGAGAGTTTGTTTAGAAGCTATGTAAAAATATATATAATTAGTGCAGCAAAAGACTTTTGGCTGTAAGGAGAATTAGTTTGCCAGATCATAATCTCTCCAACCTAAGAAAATGTAATAACTGTAGAGAAAGTCCATAATGCACAACCCTACTTGATATGATTCTGTTTTATAACAGTGCCATTTCTGAGCTACACGTAGAATGTGTATCAATGCTCTTAATTCTAGCATGAGATTTTTAATGTAGACGTAGAGATTGTAGAAGATCCTTGGTTACTTCCTTTTTTGAAAGTCTGCTTTACAAATGGCAAAGCCAGCTGCCACTGTAAATTGTTGTTAGTATGGAAAAGCAGGCTTGTGATTAAGTCACAGGAGTGGGAGTTGGAGCGTGAGGTTCTGTTTCTGGCTCAGTCACGGACATCCTGGGTTACCGTAGGCAAATCTGACAATTTGCGCCATCAGTCATATGGACAAGCTGGACTGATGGCTGGAGGGGGCTTTCTCTCCCAGCCCGCCCTGATGACGGAGCGGACCCAGAGCATGTTGTACTCCAGCAGTGGCCAGTGACTGCCCGGAAGGCGGTGCCAACTGAACGCTTCAGAGCGGCGCTAAATTTAGAGCTGTTCTAACTAGTACTTGAGGATGGCACAGGCAGGACAGTGGCTTTCTGCCAGCCTTGTTCATTCTCCCTCCCTGATCTCAGAAGTTTCCTGAGAGATTTTGAACGTACGTTTGTTAGGTTCTGAAGCGCCCAAGGAAAACAGGGCAAAAGCAGAATGCAATTTAACTTAGAAAATGACAGGAAGCTCCACCACCACCTTGACTAAAAAATCAGAGCGTGACAGATTTCAGTGTCAGGCCCGATCCTGATCTTAGCCACACCTACGTTATCCTGAAGTAACTCACTGGTAACGACCAAACTATTTGTAGAGTTAAAAATATATATATATATCTGCCCTGCAAAGGCATATGTTGGGGCAAATTTCAAAGACTGAATGAATGATTAAAATATGCTTATATAGTAATTCAGAATTATATAAATCTAGGAATGATAAAAGTTAATTAATAGCGACTTTAATGATAATTAATGTTCATTGTTCTTAACTATGACTATACAAGACAAGGTGTAAAGAAATACATAGTAATATTCTGGTACAGAAAAGCTATTTTCAGAATAGTTCTTATAAAGGACTTGATTGCTTAAAGGGTATGTTAAATGAAATTCTGACTCTAACTATAATAAGAATATGTTTGTATTTGAATAATGAAAGACAAAAGAAGAAAATCGGTTCCCTTTGAGGATTCACTGTTGCACTGGTTTTCACGACGACTGCAACACTGCACTGCCTTGTGAGAAACAGAAAACTAGATAGTATGTAATTTGGCTGGCAGAAATGGCAAAAAGAAGGTGCAATTTAAAATATTAACTTTTAGTAATCTCAGGTCTTGCTGGTGACACCTCTTCATGGTTGATTTTTTAAATGGCTGGTTTTGTTTTGGCCTTATTTTCTCCTTTACGCAGGAGAAAAAAGTGTAACAGACAAACTCACTGCAACCACCATCTTCTCTGTGGATTAGATTGTGCTGTGAGAGGCTGATATCCGTCATCTGCTGATTCATTTTATCAGCCAGAACAAGCACGTAAAAGCTCGGCCAAAAATGAGTAATGGAAATGGGAAGACGAGTTGGAAGAAACCTGTACTCAGGAGGAACCTTAAGCTGAAGTTTGTCTTGTGCAAACTAGCAAGAAAGGCAAACCCCTAGAGGACATCACCCTGTTATAGTTAGAAGCCTTCTGTTTACAAGCGATACTAATGTATAGCAAGTTTACACCCATTTATTCTTGCTTTGAATTTGTCCTTTAAATAGTAGAGCCTTTCCCCCTCCCTGGTGATTAACCGCTTTCCTCCCACCACGCTGTTGTAACACAACACAGTTGAGCTGAAATACAACCGTTGAGTTCCTGGCAATTAGAGGAATGTCTCATTAGCTCTATTATGGATTTGGGAAGTCTCTGGATCATGAGCAGAGCGTTCTTACCAGAGGTGGGCAAAGGGGCATCCTCTCACACTGTTTGAATGCATGGAACAGAGGCTACTAAATGTAGGCTAATTAATGGTTTTTTTTTTTTTTGGGGGGGGGTGTTTAATGACAAGAAGCAGAGTAGATGTCCTCTTTCTTTTGGAGGAAATCACTGCAGTTGCCTTGCTGCCCGCCGTTGCCGCCTCACTCACTGCCTGAACCTCCT